TCGAAGTGTTGAACCAAATTGAGCACGATATATATTTGGATCAACACGAAAACAACCGACATTTTGAATTTCTTGTTCAATACGTACACGTGGTTGATCATATTGAAGAATAACATTTCGTTGTGTTGTCTGACATTGTTCAGTTTGTTCTGCTCGTTCATAAATAACAGGTCGTTCTACTTGTTGTTTATATGGTAACCATTTTTCAATAATTACTGGACGAGGCTTAGCTGGTGGTTGAGGTATTCGTTTGATAATAACACGACGTGGTAGTGCTGGTGGTGGAGGTAATGTTTTAGTTATAATTTTTGGTGGTTGATGTAGAGGTGGAGTTGGTGGTTGTTCACGAACAATTAACGGTGATGGAGTACGTGGTATACATGGTCTAATAAATGAAGAAATTAAATAAAATAAATAAATTTTTAAGAAAACTTACGGTGTTGTTGAAAGAATAAGAGGTGGTAATTGTTGTGGAGATTGTTGTATTTCTCGGATAATAATTGGTTCAGGTGGTGGTGGAGTAGGTGGCTCTAAATATCGAACACCAACTTTTTGAATATAAACAAGTTCATCTGGATTTTTCTGATAGACAATTTCTGGTTCAGGATCAAAATTAACTGGAACTTCAACTGTTCTTTCATTTAGACATGGATATGAATGTGTACGATTATTCAAATCATGTTGATGACATGGACATTCACCTTTGCGTTGATTATAGAATGAAACTTGACGTGATTTACGTAATGTATCAAGACAATCATCTTCACTAGCTACTCGATGTTGTAAAACTCGATCAAAATTATAACGTTGACTATCTGTTGATTTTGAACGATGTTTTCTTACTAATTCTTCTTGTTCTTGACGATATCTATCTGGAAAAAGACGAGCATAGGCTGATTGTGGTCCACTAACAAGATTAACACGTCGTATTGGACTTGATTCTAATTGTGTTGTTACCATTTCATCTGTTTTCTCATTTGCTTCTTTATTAATTGTTGTCGTTGTAGTTGTTGTTACTTCTTGTTCATATAGAGCTGGTACAGCTGGTTGCTGTGTTTTGTGAAACCACTCTGTACGTATCCGACGAAAATGTTGACCGTCTGTACTATTAATTATTTCATCGTTATAATTGTCACGAATCATTTTTGATTGAGATATATTCAATGAAAAGACGGCGGCGACGACTACCTTGAACACTTAACTCACTTTTTTCCTTATCAAACTAACCTTGTCGTTTACGGCAATCACTTTACCAAATATCAGAGAATCAATTTATGTGGCCATGATGTTGTCCAAGAAATAATATAGACATAGGTAACATGTCTGTTTCGCTTGATTGACTATGATAATATATATATGTAAAAAATAATGTATCAATTCGATTTTATTTATCGATGAATAGGTTAGTTATTTTCGAATTATAATAACGCTGAAATACATATATGAATATTCACTGTCGATCATATCAATTTGACACTAATTTATTGAAAGATATAACTAGTATGTCACATTCTATGTTATCAATAAAATATTGCCAAAAATATTCTCATTATATACATATGAAAAAGTTGATTTTTATAAGATCCTAATCATCACAATATAAAATTACCTTGCATTCAAGTTTATTTTAGCAATGCCAAAATATTTTATTTTTATATATTTATTATTATCTAATCTCTATGTAAAAATGTTTTTCAATATAAAAAAATTTAAAAATAACTCTAACTAGAAAAAAAACATAATTACGAGAAATTATTCATATTAATGGACTCGTTCGTTTTATGGGTGATGATGATGTAATCGATTTCCATTTGTTAACCATGGAGATGAATCAAGTAAATGTCTTACAGATGATACACTATCTAATGTATTTGATTGTTCATATTCAGGTATAACTTGCATTGTATGTGAATTTAATC